TAGGCCACGACTTCCCCCCCCCCCCTTAAATAATAATTTTAATTGCGCACAACCACTCATGCGCATACTACCGTTCACAAGTTTGGGGGATGTTTTTAATGAAAAGTGTCATTTATTGTAAAATGTAATTTATTCCTGTGATCAAAGCTGAATTTTCAGCATCATTGCTCCAGTCTTCAGTGTCACATGATCTTCAGAAATCACTCTAATATGCTGATCTGCTGCTCAAGAAACATTTCTGATTATTATCAATGTTGAAAACAGAAACTGTGATGCGTTTCGTTTTTCAGGATTCTCTGATGAATAGAAAGTTTAAAAGAACAGCATTTATTTGAAATAGAAATCTTTTGTAACATTATAAATAGGGTTGCAAAAAGGTGGACATTTTCCAGTAAATTTCGGAAACATTCCAGAAATTTTGGAAACTTTCCAGGATTTTTTTTTTTGGAATATTCCAGGAATTTTTGGAAAATTTCCGGAAGTTTACTGGAAATTTTCCACCCCTTTGCAACCCTATTTATAAACGCCTTTACTGTCAAATGTTACTCAATTTTAAAATTAAAATATTACAATCTCAAACTTTTGAACACCAGTATATGTCCAAATTGGGGCTTTTTTTTTTTTCTTCTTTGTGCTAAGCTAAATAATTTTGACTGCTCAGAGGTGTTTATCAAAGAGTTGTCATTAGTTCCTCTGTATATATTCTGTGTATAGACTCTGTTCATACACTAGATGGTGCAGTATGAAAGAGTCCAGATGATGCTGAAAGGATTATGTCACACATATGAACTGAAATGAGTGGATCCGGATAATCTTTCATGCTTTTTCCTCTCTCCAGGTGTCTGTTAATTTTGGACCTCACTTCAGATACTCACCAAAAGACATCAAGTTTCAGCCAGTGAGTGTCAAATCCAAAGTTTTTTTAAACTTGAATACTTTTCCTGTTACCATAGTACTTGATATATTCCTATTGGTATTTGCCCAAATAAAGGCATATTTCTTCTAGGGCTCTGAGATATTTGTGTTATGACTATTTGACTATAATTTTAATACTTTGAATAAGTTTTTACTTTTGTATTTTCTGTTTTCATTTTCATTTTAAAGTTTTAATGTCTATATAGTTTTTATTCATTTTCGTTTCGGTTTTTATTTTAGTAAATCGTGTTAAACTAAATGAAGCTTTGACAACTAGCTGAAATAAAATGTAATTTTTTATACATTTTATTTGTCGTTTTTATTAGGTATTGTTTTGGTCTATAGTTTTTTTATTATTCATTTTAATTTCAGTGTTTTGTTTAGTAAATAAAGTTAAACTAAATAAAAATGTGAACAGTTGCTTTGGGAACTACCTAAAATATAATAATGTTTTTTGTCGGTTTGTTAATACTTGTAATGTCATTTTTATTATTGTTATTATTTATATTTTATTTTATTTCAGTTAACTTTTTTATGGTTTTAGTTTTTGTTAACTATAATAAACGTGTGTGTGTATATATGTGCATTTAAATCAAAATGATTAAATATGATTTCCTTGTGTTTATTTAGTGAAAAGCAGTGTAGAAAAGCATGCATTGATGTTTTCAACTGTATTACTCTCTTTTCCTTTCTGCTTTAGATTTAGAATTTGTTTGCCGACAACAAGTGTTGAATTTGAAAAGCATCACCCTTTATAAGCCATTTTAGTGCAAAATATCAATATTTTGAATTTAATCTGAAAATATCATTATATTTTAGCTATATTGCCTGATATTAGTTTCTGCTTAATGTACAGTTGAAGTACAAGAGTCTGTGATGTTTTGAGCTGTTCTACATTATTGCACCATTGAGTGTTTGTTGTATATCATCAGATGAGTGACATGTGTTGGGGTGCTGTGACTGAACACACGCTGGCTGATATGCTGTACCACGTGGAGACCGAAGTAGACGGCCGACGGAGCCCCCCGTGGGAAGGTTAAATCAATGCAAAATTTCAGCCCAAATAAGGCTGAAAACATGTTTTCATGTACCATTCTCAACAGCGCACAGCATTTTTTGTTTTATATCATTAAATCATTTGGTTAGTCGTATTCTGTCCTTGTTTTCTATGCAAGATTCAAAATGTCTTTCTCATAAGTCAGCATGCATTTCTCATATTTCGGTTTTTATTTAATGAAACCTCACACTGCACCAGATTGTGATGTTGATGGATGAGTCCAGCTAGAAAATGATGTTTCGGATGTTTTATCTTTTATGTAAGCTTGTTTTAATAGTTACATACTACGTTTCCTCATACTGCAGGTTTATTTTAGTATCAGTCATATGATTTCATTTCCGTCATACAGTGACCTGTTGAAGTCTGATGTTCAGTTGTGTGTGATGTGGTGTGTGTGTTTAACAGTGTTCTCCGATGCCATGGGTTTCCATTCATGGTTTTTATCAGTTGTTTATTTCTTAAGTGGTTTGTAGTCATTCAGATAGATGTAAAATATATATTTTTTTGTTGTAAACCATGTTTTATACACAAACTTGTTTTAATAAAGTAATCTAAAGGAATATAAATGGCATTTTTGCTGTCATGCATGTATGTTTTGTGATATTTCTACACTGTTACAATCCAGTATTTATTAATGCAATGACCAGACACCATTTGCAAACTGATTTCATTTATTTACAAATCTAGCATATAAAACATCATAAATCTGGTTGTTGTTGTTTTAAATATGAAAGCATGAAAAAATACATCATTTGCACTCTTAACAACCTCACCAGTGAGGAAGCCATCATGTCTTTTACATGAATCAGAAATTATGAGGATAAAAAGGACAGTTTTGTTTAGTCCTCTTCTGCAGTATCATTTGCACACTGATTTTGCCTTTTATTTTCAAATTAAGCAAATAAAACATAAATCTCTTTTTCTTTTTTGTAATATGAAACCATGGAAAAAGACATCATTTACCAGTGATTTTGTCTTTTATTTAAATATTGAGCATATAAAACATCATAAATCAGTTTTTTTATTTGTAATATAAAAGCATGAAAAGACATTTGCACACTGATTTTGTCTTTTATTTACAAATTGAGCATATAAAACATCATAAATCATTTTTTTGTTTGTAATATAAAAGCATGAAAAAAGACATTTGCACACTGATTTTGTCTTTTATTTACAAATTGAGCATATAAAACATCATAAATCAGTTTTTTTTGGGGGGGTCATATGAAAGCTTGAGAAAAGTACCCAAACCCTGCAGACTGTAGGAGGGTTTGTAATACAGTAAATATAAGTCTTTTCAATAAACACAGACACTTTAAACAACCTCTCCAGTGAGGAAGCCATCGTGTCTTCTACATGAATCAGAAATCACGAGGATAAAAGGAGAGTGTTTTGTTTTGTCCTCTTCTGCAGAAGTCATTCAGTACTCTGGCTGGATAAGGAGCGATATATGGGTTCAGCGGACTGCCCCCTGTGCTACAACAATGGAAATACAAAGGAAACGGTTTTTATTTTTATTATTGTGAATTTGATCTGTAATTGACATTAATATTCCATGTTATTAACTGAAAATGACATCCCTTGCTCTCTTGTCGCGTTTGTGAGGCAAGTAGCGAGATTCGATTTGATTCGTTAATAAACCGTTCCTTTTGAATCGGATCTTTTCTTATGAATCGCTCGATCCGGTTCACAAGATTCAATCGAATAAACCGTTCCTTTAGAATCGGATCTTTTTTTATGAATCGCTCGATCCAGTTCACAAGATTCAATCGAATAAACCGTTCCTTTAGAATCGGATCTTTTTTTTATGAATCGCTCGATCCGGTTCACAAGATTCAATCGAACTGATCTCACGGACTCCGGTTGTTGTTTTTTGGAGAAGATTATCAGTGAAGTTACATTTACCGATATTCGGTTAATTTACGCGGGCGAAATCAATTTGTGTCAACAGGAGTCGACGCCATTTGGGAATTTCGCATCAGGGCGAATTATTTCGCAAGTTTTCACGATTTCACCGCGTTGACAAACAGAAAGCTAATAATAGGCAGATCTTTTTAAGTAGCCTACTCTAGGTAAGAACGTTGCTAATACTCGTTTAACACCCAAGTAAATTATTTTGGCAGTTGTTAGTATACATGAGTTAAGAACTGTAAAAATAATGAATGTAGGATGTCTAGGAATGTATTTACATATCACACCTCGATGCCTAAAGTACTTGATCAACGCAACGGTAAATAATTTTAAACGGTAAAATAATCCTCGAAATTGAAAATTTGCTGAAAATGTAGCCTACTCGCCCTCAAGTTGTTCCAAACTTGTAGGAGTTTCTTTCTACTGTTGAACATAAAAAGATATTTTGAACAATTTGAGCAACCAAACAGTTGCTGGTACGCTATTGACTTCCATAGTATGGAAAAAATAGTTTGGAAGTCAATGGACACCAAAAACTGTTTGGTTATACGGTATAACGTTACCCACATTCTGTAAAACATCGACTTTAGCGTTCAACAGAAGAAAGTAACTCCTAGCACCCTCAAGTTGTTCCAAACAAATGCAAGTTTGGAACAACTTGAGGGTGAGTAAATGATGACAGAATTAACATTTTTGGATGAACTATCCTTTTTAATCAAGCCTACAAGCTCAAATATGTGTAATGCCCCAGAGAGAATTGAAGTGAATGGATGAAATGCTTTTATGTGGGGAAAAAAAAAACTCGTCATATAATAAATTGACAACATAGCTGCGAATCTTCAACATATTTGGCATGACATTCATTTTTAAGAGCTATTTGTGGAGCTATAAATCATACCACAAAAGTTAAAGGAATTTTGCAACAGGTGGGAGTTATTTAAATAAAGTAAATGACAGAATAGTCTATTAATCACAGCACTGTCACACATATTTTTTTGTTAATTGTGGCTTTTGCAAAGTCAGAATTGTAAGATATAAACTCAGAATTATATCAGAATTAATTAAAAAGGTAATTGTGACTTTTTACTTCACAATTCTGACTTTTTTCTTGCAATTGCGAGTTTATATATCATAATTCTCACTTTGCTCAATTGTGAGTTTATATCTTACAATTCTGACTTTTTTTCTCGCAGTTGCGAGTTTGTATCTTTAAATTCTTGACGTTTTGAGAAAAATTTGCAACTAATTTTTATTAACCTGTTTTGGCTTCCTTAACTTTTTTCCTTTCAATCTGATCAAAATTTAGTTTGGATCAAGCTCAGTCGGACCGATTGAGGTGTTCACATGAAGTCTTTACAATCAAATTACTAACCAACTATTTGTGTGCATGTAAACATATAGCTAGTTTGTGTGTAATAAAGTGCAGAGTTGTCATTTGAAACGGCTCCTTACGCGTCTCTTGAAGAATCGGTTCAGCAGTCGGCCGTATTCAATAGGACTCCGATGGATGAGCTGAGTCTCGGAGCTGGTCTTTGGGATCACAATGCTGCGGTCCAGATCTGGTGTTCTTGTTCCTCGTGGCCCGAACACATTCAGGTCTTTGAAGCACTCGGTCTCTATCATCTAAATGAATTTTATAAAAGCATATATGTGACCCAAAACCAATCGGGGTAAATTTATACATCATCTGAAAGCTGAATAAATAAGCTTTCCATTGATGTATGGTAGGATAGGACGATATTTGGCCGAGATATTTGAAAATTTGGAATCTAAGGGGTCAAAAAATCAAAATATTGAGAAAATCGCCTTTAAAGTTGACCAAATGAAGTCCTTAGCAATGCATATTACTAATCAGAAATGAAGTTTTGATATATTTACGGTAGGAAATTTACAAAATATCTTCATTTGTTGGCTATTGCTACAAATATACCCCAGCGACTTAAGACTGCTTTTGTGCTCCAGGATCACATATGAAAAGTTGAGCATAAATTGTCCTTCTTACTCTGATGTTTCTTCCTTACCTCATTCTGCCAGGGCACAGACACGCTTCCCGTGTTAAACTTGCTGTAGAAATTGTCATCGACCTCACCGAGGCTCACTCCTTTAACCGTAGAGAACTGATCGATGTCCAGGACGTCTGCGCAGTAAACGGCTCTCGGCTGGTGGAGAGAATAACATCACAGGATTGTTTTCAGGTGAAAAAAACAGCATTCACGGCAGGAAGAAAAGGTGGCGGCACCCATAGGTTATCATTCTGCCTTTATGCAGAATAAAATTTAAAAATTAAAATAAAAACTGTAAAAATAAAAAGTAAAACATCTGGCCATATTATATTAATGCTAATTTTGTTTTACCTAATTTGAAGGTCCTGCTCAAAAATGACTGGCCTTTTAAAAATTGCTTGTAAATCTCTCATCATGCTCAATTATCATCAAATCTTGAATTCAATATGTTTGTCAACTTGGTTTTCTTCCAATTAGCACAGGTTTTGCATTTCTTTTTGGAACTGATTGATCATAAGCCTCATTTATATGAGCTCATGCACCTAATTTTTGAATGAAAAAAAGCATTATTTGCGGATAATTTTGGCAATGTTCTCTCATAAACTGAGATGCATAAACTCAGATCAATGAGGCCTACGATTAACCAGCTCCAATAAGAAATAAATGACTAAAAGTAAAAGTAAGTAAAGTAAAGTAAATACAAAACCTGTGTTAACTGAAAGAAAAGAAGTTGGCAAATAGATTGAATCCAATATTTGGTAATAATATAACATAATGAGAAATTGATTACTAAATTACTAAATAATTAATAATAAAATGAATAACATAATTAATAAACTATTTATGTATTTATTATTATTTTATTTACATTTTTTTGTAGGCTGGTCATTTTTGACCAGGAACACTATGAGTGTGACAAGGTGGGGGGGAAAATCCCCAAAAAGTGATCAATTGTTGTTTTGTTGTTTTGGGTGGAGTTGTTACCCTGTTTGAGCAAAGTCAGTAAGTTTTAGTCCAATGTGAAAACACAAATTAGCATTTTTGGGAAGAAGAAAATCCTTAAAACTCAATATGAGGGTTAATTATCATGGAAATTGAGCAACATTTAATGGCTCTAAAATAGGCTTAATTTTTTAAAATATATACACTTCCGTTCAAAAGTTTTGAGTCAGTATGTTTTGTTTTTTTTTGAAGAAATTAATACTTCTATTCATCAAGGATGCATTTAATTGATCACAAGTGACAGTAAAGACATTGATAATGTTACAAAAGATTTATATTTCAGTTAAATGCTGTTCTTTTGAACTTTATAATCATCGAAGAATCCTGAAAACTAAAATGTAAGGCTGGGTATCGTTCAAAAATTGTCGATATCGATACAAAGCTCAAATAGTCTTCAGTTTACACATCTGTTAGGCTACATTTACACTAGTGCGTGTTCCTTTTAAAACGCATAGCTCAGACAGAATCATCATTTCTCTTCATTTTCCACTGATTTACTGATGAGCATTAGCAGCTTCCAGCGCTGTCTGCTTGTGTTCTCTCTTCCATGATCGCTGCTCTGACTCAGAGGTAATAACATATTTAATTTCAGCAACATTACATGGCCAAAACACACATTAGACGGCAATCGGAAGTTATTACAAACACTC